GGTTCAGATCTGGTTCAGTTTATGGTTCAAGATTGATCCTTGAAAATATGATTTTCTAAATAGGGAATACGATTCCCAGTTGAAGGGAGAGAAAAATTTTTGAAATTCGCCCCTTATTCCGCAATCTTTGGGCGTCCATAGGATGGATCTCTCATCCCTTCAGACTCTTCTCTGTGACAACAAGGCAGCTATAAGTATCGCTGCCAACCCAGTACTACATGATAGAACAAAGCACATTGAAGTTAACAAGCACTTTATCAGAGAGAAAATCATCACAGGCGAAGCATGCACTCCATACATCAGCTCTGAAGACCAACTAGCAGATATCTTTACAAAAGGGCTAAATCATTTCAGACACCAAGGTCTCTGTGACAAGTTGGGCATGATTGATATCTATGCTCCAACTTGAGGGGGAGTGTTGACAGGTGTATTATATGTATTGTACGTAGGTTTAGTGCCCGTAGGGGTATTTTTGTAATTTTGTAGTCCTTTTGTGTTGTACGGCCAGTATAGTATAAATACAAATGTTTCACTCGCATGAAGCAGTTCTTTTGAGGCCTTAAGTCTACAGCCTCTTCTCTCTTCTTCTTCTTCTCTCTTCTTCTTCTTCTTCTTCTTCTTCTTCTTCTTTTCTGCTCAACAAAAAGATTTTGGCATAATGAAATTTTACAATCAATGGTCCCCAAGAGAAGCCAATTCAATTCCATAAATATGATAGAAAACTTAGAAATATTGGCTATCTCAACATTGACAAACCTTTGCTTACCAACAATCTAAAGGGCCTGGGGGTCTGAAATAGAGCACTAGCAAGTAATCACCACTTGGTAGCTTAATTCTAGCATCAAACCATTCAAGCCCATGAAAAGGTTAGTTTTGATCCTTGAAGAAATTCCACCAGTTCTTCCTTGAGGGATATATTGCCGGCCCAGTATTGCTACTATCATCTCCAGACTCCATCTACACTAAAAGTTACATATAAGCTCAGGTTAGGTCAACCCCAATTTATGTCAATAAATTACATAATTGATAATATTATTAATAAGTTGCTTATTTTGTATGTGTGATGATAACATGATAAACTTGACTGAAAATAGCTAGGCACCTTTATTTTTTTATAATTATATAATTGGGTTGGTGAGATTGGACCTAAAACTATTCAAATCCCTGCCCAGGCCTGTAGTTTGCATTCTAACCCTCTCCCAACCCAATTGGCCTGTATGCTTTACTCAAAAGAAAAATTAACAAGTGTGCTTAACTACCAAACTAATTGCTATTCTCTATACATGATTAGACACTCCTTTGGCTTTATATATGTATGTTACTTAACTGTAATATTAGTATAGTGAAAAAATAAAAAATGATGGAAACAAATGTTATAATATTGTGATAGAAGGAATAGTTGACAAAAGGGCCGATGGATATCATCACCATTAGAGATACTTAAAATCCGAGCGCTAGACTTTTATATAGATGACATTATCTAGAGATGGACCCACTTAGCATGTTCACCTTCAGTCAAGTAGGAGCTCAACCAAGTCTGGACGCCTCCCCCTCAAGTTGTGAAACTAAACTTTGATAAATACATTAGAAAATCCAGGTCTCTAGAGAAAAGAATTTTTAACAGTATTTAAGAGAGGTCTTATTGGCTAATTTTAGGCCCAATTGGTTTGGGCTTTTCTATTTGAGAGTTTATTTTTTCTAGCCACTATCTGGTTTTAGACATGATTGTATATTTTTAAAGCTTTGTTTAGTTACTAACAAGCTCTTCTGATCTTATAAATTATCCAAAAAATCATGGAATGAATGACACCCCATGGATCATATCCAAAATATGCAAACATATAATCTTCATCTGTTTAGATCAATACATTCATACCGTTATTGAAGTAAATGAACAAAATATATATTAATGAAATTATAGGGGTAAATGAAAAATTCCTAAAACACCAGAGCATAATTGTTCAAGTAATTCCTACATTTCTCAGCCATGAACATTGTAAGGACATGCATTGGCTCAAAATATGAAAAACTGTTTTATTTTCAAATCTTTTGATTTTCCATTATTCATTCTGGTTTCATCTGGACTGACCTTCCAAAATACATCTTCGTGCACCTTTATAGGGCTCAATTGTGCCTTCGGAAGATGACAATAGAATATGGAAAACAAACCACAATGGTGAATCTTCATAGAATACCTTCTAATAACTCTTTTGATGAACCTTATACCATCATTTAGGAAACATTTTATTAGTTTATAGTTTTTCCATCATGGTAAATTTTTATCAGTTTTTAATCACTTAAGAAGTAAAGGCATTTTCTGAGCGGCTAACACATATAATCCCACAAAGAATTGAGTTACTTCCTAAAATGCACAGTAATCAAATAACACAAATACACTTGTAGATTTAGGTAAAGTATAAGGAAACAACACAAGAGTTTGATCTAAGAAGGTAGTAACTTACGCTTTTCAGATTTACACTTTCTTTACACATCGTTACTTTGCAAACCCCAATGCCTGTTTATTGAAATGAGACTCTATTGAAATAGAGGTATGCACACCTTTTATTTGCAAACCCATAGGAGAGAAAGAGAGAGGGGAAAAATAAAGGAGACAACAGAGAATGACAGAGGAGGAGAGAGGGGGAAAGGAAGAGAGAAAACAAAAGCGGGGAAGGAATAGCAACAAGAGAGAGAGAGAGAGAATGGAGGTTTAGAAATAGGTCATTGGGTTCAAAGGGAGAGAGAGAACGGAGGGAACGCAGGCCAAAATTTTGGGGAGCGCGCGTTAACCCCCAAGTAGCCACAGTCCTAAGCATTTTATCAAATATTAGCTTCGGTCTGGTTTAGGTACCGTTGCAGTAGGTTAGTTTAAACAACGGATTACAGGACCGTGACAAACCTGTTGCAAGTAAATCAATTTACAACCACGGGCAAAGAATTCCGTTGCTATAATATAGTGTTTAGCTACGGTTTTTTGCCCGTTGCCAAAAACCGTGGTTAAAAACCATTTTTCTTGTAGTGTTGCCTTGGAGTTTAAGAAGAATAAGACTGCTTTTGCTTCTATTTCTTGTTTGCTTTCTACTACTTTTACTTCTGGACCTTTTAATTGTAACAATGATTGGCATCTGTGGCATAGACGTATTGGCCATCCTTTTTCTAAGAAACTTGATCAGTTATTTGCTTCTAGTAATTTACCTGTTTCTGTTGTTTCTTTTAAGAATGTGAATAAATATTGCATTACTTGTGGTTTATGTAAGAGTCATATTTTACCATTTCTTTCTTATTCTAAGCATGCAACAATTCCCTTTCATTTAATTCATAATGATGTCTGGTTATCTTTAGTTGTTTTACAGTTGGGATATAAGTACTTTGTAACTTTCATTAATGATTGCACTCGTTTTACTTGGGCTTATTTTCTTCGAAAGAAATCTGAAGTGTACATTGTTTTTAAACACTTTCACACCTATGTAATTACCCAATTTAATGCTCAAATCCGTGTGTTAAGATCGGATTCAGGGGGAGAGTATATTGATAGAGATTTCTAAAACTACCTAAAACAACATGGAATTCAACCCCAGAAATCTTGTCCAGGCACCCCACAACAAAACAAGGTAGCAGAAAGGAAAAATGGGCACATCTTAAGTGTAGTCAAAACCCTTTTATAAGATTCCCATGTACCCTCTTGGTTTTGGGTAAAGGCGGCCAGCACTGTTGTATATCTCATAAATTGTCTTTCATCATCTGTTTTAAATAACTCCTCTCCTTTTCAATCTCTCTTTCACAAACCCCCAGATCTATCATGTTCAGAGTTTTTGGTTGTGCTTGTTTTGTCCACCTTCCACCCCATGAACGTACAAAGTTAACTACACAAGCAACTTTGTGTGCCTTCATGGAATACAGTTCTGAACATAAGGGGTTCCTTTGCTTTGATCCCTTGGTTCATCGCCTTCGGATCTCTCGTGATGTAGTCTTTCTTGAAAATGTGTCTTTTTTGAACATATTGTGAAATTCCTAGCTCCTTCTATTTCCTTGTTACATAGTTTTGATTCTAAAGGCACCTCAAATATTCCATTATCACCTCCACAGCAACTTCAGACATACTTCAAGAAGCAACGGCCTTCTTCAGTCTCCATCCCCCCTCTGCTCCGCCTCCAGTTGTTGATCTAGTCACTCCAGCTCCCTTAGTAAGTGTACCTAACCTTCCTCCTGAACCCACTTTACGCCGTTCCACTAGAATCTCTCGACCACCTAACCGTTATGGTTATTCACCAGACCATAGCTCATTTTCTCAAGGCTACTTTGTTAATCAACAAAAGTATGCGGCCAATCTGGTTAAACTAGCAAATCTTAGTGACTCTAAGATTGTGGACACTCCACTAGAACTGAACCTGAAACTCAGCAAAGATGATGGGTCTCCCCTTGAAAATCCTACCCTTTATCATCAGCTAATGGGTAGTTTAATCTATCTCACCACAACTCGGCCAGGCATATCCTATGCAGTTCAGATAGTAAGTCAGTTTGTGTTTTCTCCGAGACAACCACATTTATCTGCAATTCATCGGATTATAAGATATGTGCGAGGCATACTGTCACATGGGATATTCTTCTCTTCATCATCTCTCATTCATCTTGTGGCTTATGTAGATGTTGATTGGGTTGGATGCCCTGACACCCAACGGTCCACTACTGGCTGGTTTGTTTTCCTAAGCAAACTCCCTTATCTCATGGAAGTGCAAGAAACAAGATACTGTGTCCAAATCTTCCACTGAAGTTGAATACAAGACTATGTCTTCCATGTGTAGTGAGATCATATGGCTACGGGCTCTTCTATTTGAAATACTAAATGAGCCATCATTGTTTGTTTCTCTTTATGCAAACAATATCAGTGCAATAAAAATTGCATCCAACCCCGTCTTCTATGAGCGTACCAAACACATAGAAGTTGATTGCCACTTCATTCGCGATCTCCTTCTTGAGGGTATCCTCATGTCTCTTCTGGGCTCCAACTAGCAAACTTGTTGACTAAAGCAATGATACGGGCTCGACATCTATTTCTCATGGATAAACTGATGCTTATTCCTAGGCATCAGTTTGAGGGGGAGTGTAGAGAGTGAAATTTAGTCGTAGGTCTATTTTTGTATTTTTACTTTTCTTTATTGTATATCTATTCTTTGTATTATCTCTTTCCTATGCATTAAGGGCATATCTATTCTTTTACAAACTTAATATAAATATATCTTTAGGGTGCTGACCGACAAAAAGGTGTCACACCCACCATTCGGTTGTTCTCTCTCTGTCTGTTTCTTTCTTTCTTTTATGACTTTCGAACTGACTCTGACACTACCTATCTTTTTATGTTTCAAGATGTATGTTGAGAATTTGTTCTCTTGCAAAATTAAACAATTTCAATTCAATTGGGGAGGGGAGTATCGCTCTATTTCCACCCAACTTGCTCACTTTGGCATACACCATCGCATAACGCTCACATTATTGAAACCGTGCTAGCCTTACTCTCTCAAGCCTCTATGCCCATCACATATTGGGATGACGCAGTCCAGACTGCTGTTTTTCTTATCAATCGGCTTCCCACTACCGTATTACAAGGGAATTCACCATACCAACTCTTGTTTAAACAAGACCCTGACTACTCCATTCTTTGTGTTTTTGGATGTGCTTGTTATCTGTATTTGCGTTCATATAATAAGCGTAAGTTTGATTTCAAATCCTTTCTCCATGTTTTTCTTGGTTATAGTACTTCTCATAAGGAATATCGTTGCTTGGATCCCTCTACTGGTCGCATTATAAATAGTAGAGGTGTTGTTTTTGCAGTCTTCTTTTCCTTTTGCATCTGTTTTAGTTCCCTCTTCTACTTCATCTTCCCCACCTACTATTACATACATATCTGCTCCTTTTTCTTCTCCTCCTCAACCATCATACCCCTCACCTCCACCTACCCCACCACTTGTACAACCTCCCTCCCCTGTAACTTGACATGAATCCCCTTTATCCTCCTCTCCAGTCCCAAAGACATGAATGTTGGAATCTATTATGATAAATACTGAAACCTATCCCACCCCCACTCAATTTCACACTATGGTTACAAGGTCCTAAACTCGTGCCTCAACTTCTCTTACCACGAGGTACCCCCTCTCTGAGGCACTTCTTGCTTACCATGCAAGCATACCTAGTGATCCCACTTGTTTCTCACAAGCTAATAAACATATAGAGTGGTGGCAAGCAATGTGTGATGAGTTCAATGCTTTAATGAAAAATGGAACTTGGACCCTAATCCCTCCTCATTCTTCCATGAATATTATTGGATCAAAGTGGGTATATCGTGTAAAACAAATTGCAGATGGTTCTATTCAACGTTACAAGGTATTGATGTTGGCGAAACTTTTAGCCAGGTGGTCAAACCGGCTACCATAAGGACTATTCTAAGCGTTGCTCTTATGCAACAGTGGCCTCTTCAGCAACTTGATATCTCTTATGCCTTCCTTCATGGTGAAATCACTAAAGAAGTCTATATGTGCCAACCATAAGGATTTATAGATCCACAGTTCCTAAATCATGTTTGTCGACTCCATAAAGCTCTTTATGGACTCAAGCAAGCACTACGTGATTGGTTCTCTAAATTAAGTAGTCGACTTATGCATATGGGCTTTACTGCTTCTAATGTTGATTCTTCTCTCTTTCTCTTCAACAAAGATGGCATTCTTATTTATTTGTTAATTTATGTCGATGACTTGTTGGTTACTAGCAATGATGCTTTTGCTCTCTCTCTCAGTTTATTTCTTAGCTAGTTTCTCACTTTTCCAGCAAAGATTTGGGTGATTTAAGCTACTTTCTATGCATCGAGGTCACACACTCCTCTTGTGGACTTCAACTTTCTCAACACAAATATATCATGGATCTTCTCCTTCGTGCTAATCTCGATGGTTGCAAACCTGTCACCACTCCCATTGCAACCAATAGTCAACTCTCCAAGTTGGATGGTACTCCTCTTGAAGACCCAACTGAATATAGAAGCATTGTTGGCTCACTACAATATGCCACCATTACAAGGCCTAACATTTCCTTTGTTGTGAACAAAGCATGTCAGTTTCTTAAGACACCAACCACTGGGCATTGGAATCTTGTCAAGTACATTCTTCGCTATCTAAAGGGCACTACTGATTTTGCTCTAATTTTTTCACCATAATTCCTATTACACCGTAAATGGATATTGTGATGCTGATTGGGCTGGTGGCCCAGATGATGACACTCTACCGGTGGGTATGCTATCTTCCTAGGCTCCAATTTAATATCTTTGCGTGCTCACAAGCAACCTACCATCGCTCGATCAAGTACTGAAGCTGAATTCCACTCCCTTGCTAATTTAAATATAGAAATCGTATGGCTCTACTCCTTGCTCAAAGAATTGGGTGTCTCTCTCTCTCTCTCTCAACCTCGCACGATCTAGTGTGATAATATAAGCGTGGCATACCTTGCAGCAAATCTAGTCTTTCGTGCACGTACTAAGCACGTCGAAATCGATTATCACTTCATACGAGATTGTGTCACTGCTTGTTTTCTTCTGGTCGTCATTTGTCTTCTACAGATCAGATCGCAGATATATTCACCAAGGGCTTACATAGATCTCGATTTCATCTATTGCAATCCAAACTCAACATTGTTCATCATCACCCATTGAGTTTGAGGGGGCGTATTAGCAATGAGACATCTAATCCAAATAGGACTCTACCTATCATACCATAAGGATAGAGACTATCCTACTTAATCCT